TCCTTCTTTTTCTTCTGAAAGATAGAGTTGTCAAGTCGTTAAGATATAAATATGTAATATAGAGTAGAAAAAAATCTAATATTCTATAAAATAAATCTCCATATCTTTAGAAATTTGGTCTGAGAAACAATACTATTAACCTTCAAGTATTTCATCTATTGTTTGATTATTATAGATGTTTGCAGTAAAAACTTCAATTTTACTATTTAGACTACTATGATGACTGTCACATCTACAAGAGGGTTCAGTGTTCTCTGGACTAATAGCAATACCCAATACATTTGTTTGATTTAATGGAAACTTATAGGAGTATTACCATTTCCACCCATCCCTTTTTTTCCATAATTCTCCTGTTATTCTTTATACCTTTTCAGTCATGAGAACCTGTACCATTGCTAATAAATGGTGCATGACCACATTAATCAATAATCAGAATACTAACTTCTTGTACTAAATTCTGTGGCAGGTGTTTGAAACAGTGCCACATCAAGTGAATGTTAATAGATTGCTGTAGACATTAACTACTTATAGTCCGAATTACAGGTATTGACTTATGAGCAATTTCTAGGGGCTCTAACCCCTTTAACTCTCCTTAAAGGGGTTATATCAACATGAGAACCACTAAAGCCTCAACTAATGGCTACCATGACAGTGGCATACTAATGGGCAATTGTTGCAACCTCCATACCTATGACAGCAATTTTTCAGAATACCTTTCATAACCAATTGTGACAGTTTTAGTATTGATAGAGTCCTCTCACTCTCTACTATCCAAATATATTGATATTATGCATCAGAAAGCCCCACCATTAACAATCGTGGCCCTGATAGCAGAAGAGGCCATGAGAGCTACTAGGGAAATTGCAGGCTAGTATACAAGTAATACACGCAGAATCAATCATTATATTTTCTATTGTGGGGCACTGTGCCCCCTGTAACTCCTACAGTGGTAAACAAAGAATACTCCACACATTAATGGCGAGGTAGAGTAGAGCTATTTTTATGTCTTTAATGATATACTCAAACAACACAATTTGGTACATATAACAAAAATAAGCTGCAGAAAAAGGTATAACATATTTTACAGATCAATGATTGCATAAAAGACAAATGTCTTTGAAATATTAGTTATACTTCTTAAATCTGTAAGCTTCTAAATCCTTATGGCAGAATTACAATATTTCTTCACAAACTTCAAAAGCAATGAAAGTCATGAGGCAATAACATATGGCACATCAAATCTCATCACTTGCACATGACACTCTACCTTTCCCTCGTCCTCGCTGGAAGAAAGCGAGAGCACCAAGGATGACTGCCACAACCGTGGCTAAAACCATATACACTGTAACATCAGTCATATTGGCATATGTTGGTGCTTCAAGGAGGAATACCAGACATTGTTTACATGCAACCTATCAGTTCCGGGGATAGGATCGAGAAGTAGGTCCTGAATGCGCTTATATTTCGGTTGAAAGTTTCACCTACATTTAATTTGGTTAGTAATGTGAAATCGGTCCATAGAAATAAAATCTTGAAACCTGGAAATATATTTTTAAAATATTATATATTCTACAGATATTTCTTCAAGTATTAAAGTTAGCCAAGTGGCATTGAAATACGTCGATGACATTGTACACGTCAGACAAAATCCTTTCATCTATACTTTAATTTTAAGACGAGAAACTACAGTATAAAATCAATTTTGCCTTCTTAATTAATCTATTTAACAATTATAGTTATACATGGAAAATGAAAATTTGTACAAAAAATTATTGGTAACTATAGGATATACATTTATTGATTCTTAAAACCTTTTAACTCCAATGCGACATCTCGCTTGAAGCAGCGGTGTTGTCAGTCGAGAAGGGAAAGCAAGATGACGTCCAAAACATTTCTCTCAATATGCCTTATTTTAGGCGTCTTTTGTGCGTTTTCTGAGGGCCTGTACTTCCACATTGGTGAAACGGAAAGAAAATGTTTCATCGAAGAGATTCCCGATGAGACAATGGTCACAGGTGAGGAGAAATTATTTCCGGCATTTGTTTTGAAAAGCAAGTTTGTTTCCAATCGAAGACAACATAGTATATATGGATTGAAAATGTTTATTCTTTACAATTTATGGATACACATATAGGGTCTTAAGTAAAGTTTGACAAATTTGAGTTCATTTATATCTACGGTTGGTAATATCAATATACATAAATAGCGAAATATTTCGTAATGACGGGGCATCCACATCAGCTGGGAGCTTGTAGCCAGGTTGTCTTACCCCCCCCCCCCCCCATTCAGTAATCTATAACGGAAGCTGATTATTTAGTAGAGCCACCACAAATACCATGAAATGGAATATTTTCAGTGGATAACAATCAGGATTTGAGTAGGAAAAAAAGTATGGAATGGTTACATTGATGTAAGATAAGACACTTTTCATCTATGGCATAAGGTGCGCAAATCGAAAATAATGGGTATACATGAGGAAAATTGACAGTGGATAACAATCAGGAATTGAGTATAAAAAAAGGGTAATTGTTACCAATTGCGAGACACCCTTGCAGAGACTGTACCAAAGGGTGGGGGAGGAGGAAGGGTAAAATTGAGTTCACGAGGCTCCTTTTGGGGGGAGGTAGGGGGGGATCGCATGATGTCATTAGCAACCTGTAAATGTCTAAATATTATAAATACCAGTTAAACATCGCTTAAAAACTTTAATTATATGAAAGACAAGCCAAAATTTGTGTACCGACAACAATAGAAAGGCTGTGTAATCAGCAAGATGGGCCAAACTTTGAGCAATGGAGAACGAAGGAAATGCCAGCAAAGTAAACACTCGCAACACGCAATGCGTACAAACTCGATATCCGATACACTATTTCTTCTATAATATAAAATGTTTTCTGTTGTCAAAATGATATTTGGTTAATTATCAGTGTCTGCTGTTCTACATATATCCTTTCAAAGGCCTTTGTTAACGTTGTTATACCTCATTTTCTTGTTTCAAGATTTATTAGACAGTGATTTAAGGAAATCAGTCAGAACAACCTTTTGCGCACGCGCTTTTTCGCGTCTCTGCCGCCAGGTTTGACAGGACGTTTCCCAGGCAGCCTGTGACAGGAGACCAATGAGAAATGTTTCTTTTTTGATGTTACGTTGATTCTAGTTTGTTCTTAAGACTATACAGTGGAAATGAAGAAGAAAAAGACCGTAATAAAAAATTGACAGTTCGGTGTTTTGATATATAAAGGTATTTGATTTATTGTTTACAGTATGTATGTAGCTCTATTTTGTTATATATTCCGAGCTTGCCCCCCATCAACCCTCCCCTCGGGCAGTGCCCAAAGGGCACGCCTAATCACGGCACCATAAATTGTTAGGTTAGGTTGGGTTATGGGTCAGGACGTTTTGGGGGGGGTTGGAAGGTGTGAAATCCCGTAGATTTTGCTGAAAGATAGGTTGGATTCCTGCATAGTTTTCTGAACTCGGGTGCGTTGGTGCGTGTACTTTCAAAGGTGGCGGATACGTCAGTAGAGTTTCATTAGCCGATTTTTACCATTTTTTGTGCTAGTTTTACACATTTCTGTTTGCTATTCTTATTTAAGCTTGTTTTACCCCATAATTTCCCAGATATACTTCATGCCCTCCCCTGCTAATAGAACTTAACACATCAAGATTGTCAGCTGTGATTGCTACAGAAATGATCATCAGATTCATTCTCGTCACAGGAAAATAAATCTGAGGATATAAATGTTGTCTGGGAAGTCCCAATTATCATAATAAAAAAAATAATCCATTAAATCTTGGTGAGGATTTCATGGATACTTCTTCCTTTCTGCAGTCAATCTTCTCTCAAATAGTGGAGCTCAGAGCCTGTATCATTCATATCAGAGGCATTTGCCTCAAAACTTATTAATGTTAAGTTTGTGGCTTATGCTTTTATACAAAGTTCAGTAACATTCTACTATACAAACACACTCACCAGAGATAGTACTAAGTCTCCATCTCTGTGTCTCAATTTTTTCTACAAGTTCATGGCTATCAGGCTTTCCAAGGGGAGGGTTGATGGAGAGCTCTTCTCTCATCCCCAGTAGACACTGTTGATAATTTTCTAGAATACATCCACCAAATGGATCGCGGCGGTTCCGGTATCATTGGATTCCTCTCACCGTGTAGTTTCCTGATATAAAGAAATTACTGTTCAGAAACCCCCCAAACCCACTATATTCTTGGCCCTGATAGATGGGGAGGGTATGAGAGGTACCAGGGAAATTAAAGGGTAAAATGTAAATGATATAAAGAGAATCAGTTAGTATATTGTCTAATGCAGGGCCTATGCCCCCTGCAACCTCCCCATGGGGATGCTACTGCCCCCCAACCCCCGCCCAGGAAAACCAAGAATCTTCCTTATATTTACGGCAGGAGAGAGTGTCAAACAGACTTGGCAAAGCTTTTCCCGCATGGCGCGTGTCTGTTCACACCTGCCGTAAATACATGGTGGATTCTTTGTTTTGCTTATAATTATTTCAAAGGAAACATTATAGAGAAAAAGTATCTTAGATTCTGTCAGCTTAACATTTCCATATGCTGCCATTCACGAAAGTCACATTATCATGTTGTAAATGAAAACCATAATGTGAAAAAGCCAATGCAATTACCAGGGTAATATTTTGGTATTTACCCTAAGTGTAGAGATTAAGGGAAAAAATGTTGTCCATCTTGAAGTTCTACACCAGGAATAGAGTCCTCCAAAAGGTATTATTGTAGAATATTCCTTAGATAATAATTGTTACCAAAATGTTACACTTAAGGGTAACATGCAATAGGAAAAGTGTAGAAAGATGAAAAAAAGAAGGGAATGAGGTGAACTTAGCATTATGGTGCATTAGTTGGAGGGCTAGATTATGATTTTTTGGGCCTATAGGTTCCCTTTTTTTTAAGCTGAAAATTTCATTTTAAATTGAATGAATTATTCATTAATACAAAATACTGAAATACCCCACTCATTT